TTCGCGTTGTACACGTTTTAAAACCGACAATTCATTACCTTCTACTTCAATATTCAAACATCTTTCAATGAACTTATTGTTGGGCTTGTTATTCTTTTGGTTTGTTGTAGTTATCACGGGATTTACTCTACGCAATTGAACCGCATCGAAGATATCAGTATTCCTCTCCCGATTGCTTTCGTCAGGACTAAAGTTTTTAGAATCCTTCGTTGAATTATTACACTCTGCTTGTTCATTGTTTCCGTTCACAAGAATCAACGTAGACGTTATACAGAACGTAGTGTCACCGATCACTAACTCGGATTTCAACGAGCTAGGTTCAAAAGTTTGGTCATCATTCTCTATTTCGAATTTTTTCTCGTCATTTAATGTAAAATTATTTGTTAACAAAGATGGGGAGTTTTCTATCGAGCTGTCTACAGAGGACCTATTTCTCCCGACAGGATTTTTCTTGTTGTTTTGGTTCAACAAATTTTTGACAGTGTTTTTGTTATTATGTTGCAAAGTACTTCTCGTTCTACGTGCGTCGGAATCTATGTCTTTATCACGAAGAACATATTTCTCCGTAAGATTCGTCTCTAGATTTTTCAGCACCTTGGCTATTTTCCTTTGTCTCTCTATTTCCTTATCCTTCGCACGAGCCTTCTGCACGGGCGATAATTGCACTTCGTCGGAAGCTATGGAATCTGTATCGGATACATCCTGCCCTATTGAAGCCAAAAGCGCCTTCTTCCTCTCTACCCAACGCTTCGTAGACGCCTTTCTCCGTTCGATATTTCTGCCACGTCTTGCAGGCAATAATCTAGCTCTCATTGGTCCTAAATACATTTTACTTTCTGTACGCTCTTCGTCATTTTTCGCATTCTTTTTCAATTTAGGTGAACTATCGTTATCCGATATGCTTATTGTGTCTAGTATAATTTGGCCTGTGTCGCAAGCAATTTCCAATGAAGATGTATCTATCTTTGATTTTTTCTGAAATAGAACAATTAATTTTGGGTTGAGTAAAATATTTATCAGATACAAGAGGTTCAACATAGGAAATAGAAGCCCCAAATATTTAAGAAAGAAAAATTTGAATAAGGTAGGAATAAGAGAAAGTATAAGAGGATTAGAGAGAATGAAACTTAAGTGGGGAAATATAATAGAAAGAAATAAGTACTGACTAAGTGAGGAAAGTAGATGTACATTTTGGACAGGAGTATGTGCAGATTGCATGGAACATTATATGGAAGAGTGTCGGAAAATAAAGTAGCTGATTCAAAATATTAGGTAGGGACAGAAAGGAAATATGGAATAGACTTTCAAGTGAGGGACTGAACTCAGAAAAATATATGCTCTCCATTATTTATATTTAGAAAAATAAGTTTCTAAGAAAGTTGAAGAAAGAAAGGGAAAAGGATATTAGGAAAAAGAATGCGGAAAAAAAAGATCTGGGATGAGGAGGAAGAAGAATCGGGAACTACACAGAAGATTGGCACAATTTGATGTAATTAAATAGCAACAAGTTAAGGTAACAATAGCAGAATAACGGTTGTGATTATGTTCCGTGATATTTCTGTGATATGTAAGGATAAGAAATCTTTCTCTTCTGTGAATAAATCATTAGATAGATATAGGAATTTGTATAAAAAGAGATGTGTTGTAGCGATAGGATAATGGTATGGATGGATGATCAAGTTTATATTTATTTTATGGCTTACATTGCCAAGAAAGGACTTATAGCGGTTTTTATTAACAGAGCTGGTGCGCACACAGTGTACTTTAAAGCCATCGTACACAAATCAACGTAAAGATGTACGTTTAATAAAAATATAGAAACGAATTAAACCGCAAAATCCTCAATACATTTTATTGTGGTATTTGATAAAATATACATTGGATAATTTATTAATTGAGATATATCATTTTTACATTCAGATTAGATTAATGTACAACGGCTTTAATATGCATTGAGTGCGCATTAGCTGTCAGAAAAATACGCTATTAGTTTACATACATACACACGCGCGCGCGCACGCACACACACACACACACACACAAAGAAAATGTTACAAAACATAGAATCAATAATATTATCAAATTTATATAAAAATACCTTCTCAATACTATTATCCTGGCTGTTTCTATGTTTCCTTTCTGTATCTTTTGATGTATAACTGCTATCCTTCAAAGGATCTTCAATCTAAGATAAAAATAAAAAATGTAAAGTGCTAAAGCGACAAAAATCTAATCTACAATTTACTCTTTGTTTCCTATTTCTTGTTTTCCAATTTTTATCTCTTGCTTTTTCACCTCTTATTCTATTTCCTCATTTTCTATTGTCCAAGATAAAAGTTGATACTTTGAAGTTGATGAACTTTGATAGAAGAGATCGAAAATATGTGACAAGATGATTGTTGATAAAAACAACCATAAAGAGAAAAGAGAAAAAAAAAAGAAGCAGGAAGCAAAAAGCATATTATAAATCAGGCTTAAAAATCGATAAAGCTATATTTGTTCCTTTTTAAAAATTCTGAATTAGTTGTGAAATAATTCACACATTAAGTTAAGGTCATTAGACATACAAAAATTTTAGTCGTAATCATAAGATCGCAAGTAAATCGACTCATCACTATCAAAATTACAATCTCATGTTTTAAAACGCTTGACTGATTGACTGATATGCTTATGGCTCTCTTACAATTACAACTAAAATTTTTGTACGTGTGATGGCCTTTAGAATAAAACAAGTTATAATTGTTTCACTATAAGTTATTGCACCAGTATACATCAGTTCAGAACTTGAAGTAGAAAAAGAATAAATCTAAAAAAATACTACATCAACTTACAGTGTTATCAGACTCTTCCCACATTTCTAGTTGCTCCAGGGATTTGTTGGACTGTATAAACTGTTCTTTAAACTCGCTCCACATGTTCAGCTTGTACAAGCATACATGACACACAACTCCTGGTAGATTTTCATCATACTTGATCTGTAGACAAGCATAAGCGTTCAATCAAACATGCAATTTGACAGAAGGAACCAGTGAAATACAAAAAAGGGGACCTACATCAATGCGAGTGCACCTGATCAAGTCCTTGAGCTTGGCTTCCAAACGCTCGTCTTGCAGATTAGTCATGCAGCCCTGGTCAACCAGACAAATTCGACAACGCTCAGCCATGTTTGGTACCTCCTGCTTAGTAGACATCATTCCGATGATCGCGGCGACTCGCGGTAGCCGGTTCAGGAACAAGTTCGACAATTAACAACACTCCTCAATACGTTGCTCGTGTTCCCGTAGCGGGCTCAGGCGGGCTCCCGCACTTCGCCATTAATAACCTTTTAGTGCTGTTCCGTCCGCTTGATCCGATTGCGAACTGAGCGTCAATATGACACGGAATGCTATGCACGATCCGTCAACGACCGTAAGCGACGACCTCTCGGCAGTCTCGGCCACTATATTCAATGGAAATTTATCTCTCACTTCAACTTGTTCACGAAACGCTCTTAACGCGGCAACAGGACACATTCGCCATGATCGTAGTATAAAGCGCGCGGAACGAAAATATGGCGCACTCAACGTGCGTACTGCGTAATCGCTTGATACGAGACACGCTAGCGCTGGATGAAAACGCCTCACGGCGATTCGTCGACACATGGGACGCTCCGGCAAAAAGGATTTCCTATTGGCCCAACTGCGTAAAATTGACACGTCGTTTCGTTCGCAAGTTAATAGACGGGAATGACGATGAGGACAGATGAGGATGATATCGCTCGAGATCCTCGAGAAGGAGCCAACGAACACCGAAATAGACTTCCAAGTCGATCAAAGTCGATTTTTGTGCATAATCATGGAGCAGATCCAGGAGACGCTTATCACAGCGATTTCGGGGATCGAAAAGTGCAATAAAAAAACCAATTATACAATCAATAATTTACGGTATATATATAACGAGATTTTATTTTGGTTTCTTCTGCTGACGTATCAACACAGATTTTAATGGCTGAAATAAAATATGTCGATAACGAAGAGGAATATTGAATTAAATATCGTTACTGTACAAAAATAAATGTATTATATTACCAAATTAATAAATGATTATGTTCAGCAAAGAAAGCTCAGATTGGTTTAATATGATTATACATTCAGATCCAGTGAGGAATGAAGAGCAAGATCAATCATATTAAAGAATCTTACAGTTGCAAAGTTGCTCTTTTTGCTTAATACAGCCATTAGGTCTGTTTACATTGCTTGAAATTCCTAAAAATGTTTGCACTTAAAATGAGATAAATTAATATACATATTTGGGCGTTGAAGAAAAAGAGAAGATGCTGAGTACAGAAAGTGCAAGCAACGCGGACAGACCTAACGATTTTTTTTATAAATATAAATATTGGCGTAGCCAACATGGGACTGAGAGGCCATCCTTCTCTCCAGATCTTAAAGAATAAAAATAATTAAAATCACTTAAACGGACTATGTTTAATGAGTTTTTACAAGAAATTAATTTTAGAAAAAAAGAAAGAATTGGAGGTGAAAGATTTTCTGAGACTCCGAGACAGCTAGTGTTATAAATAATATAAATTTAAGCTTTTCTAGTTCGAAGATTCAGTTAACAATTTTAAGAGAAAAATAAAGTACATTAAAAAATTAAATATGTATAAATTTTGCCAGTAATGAATTAAAAAAAATAATATAAAACAAAATTGTACGTCCAATAATCTATACTATTCGATTATGCCCCTTCCCCAAAAATCACAATCCTATTTAGCCCTCTATAAACAAAATCCTGGCTACGCCCATGTATATAAACACTAAAGTTAATAAAAATGAGCGGGAATCGATAATGCGCAAAAAATCTTCCATTGCATTGGTAATGTAATGTAGAAATCTTTTAGAGCGGCAATCGGTAATGTAGAAATCATCAATGCTACTGCAAATTTTACCTTATTCCCAAACGGCCGGTAAAGAAATTTGGAAATGCGAATCGGCAAGAATATCGACCGTCGGAAGAATGTACGGCACCAAGTTTTCTAGTAAATTCTATAAAATTGATTTGCGCCGGTGTGTACGATTGTGAGAAGTCGTCGACCACACGATTATTTCGAATCAGCCGGCACGCGTGTTGGAAGATTGCTCAGTTCGAACGAGATTCTCTACTGCGTATATATCTGCGAACACATCCTATTTTCGTAAATCGTACGTATTCTTGGTTTTAATACTATCACACATAATTAATCCACAAACACGTGCGCATCTTGCAAAGTCATTTCCTCTCGTCATTAATATTCGTGCATTAACATTTCGAGAAAGTTCGGCGTGGAACGATTCCCAACACAACAGCGCCAAACTCGGCCAAACTCGGTTAGGTCGTTATCGCTGTATCATCGCATCGTAGACGTTATAGAAAAAGTCTTTTGGTTTGATAATCCTTTTGTCTCTTCCGCTCACAGAGAATGGTCGAGGTAGATTTGTCTCCCGCACAGGATCGCGGCGTGTTGAAGGAAATTATCAAGGAAGGAGAAGGAAATTTGACTCCTACGAGTGGTTGCAGAGTAAAGGTCCACTACACTGGTACTCTGCTGGACGGCACAAAGTTTGACTCCAGTAGAGACAAGGATAAGCCATTCAAATTTAATCTCGGAAATAACAGTGTCATCAAAGGATGGGACATCGGCGTCGCTACCATGAAGAAGGGCGAGATCGCTATGCTGACCTGTGCTCCTGATTATGCCTATGGCGAGAATGGTAGTCCACCATTGATTCCAGCTGATGCTACGTTGAAGTTTGAAGTGAGTAAATATCAATTAACATTGTTGATATAACTGGAAATATCAATGTTCTTATTTACTGAAAGGTCCAAGCGAATAAATTATTATGAAGTTAAAGAAAATTAATAGGTCAAAAACTAAATATTTCATCAGTACGACATAATTATTGAAAAATCAAAAAATTTTAAATATCTTTTACACAAAAAATATAATATCAACTTAAAAAATAGGAACAATCAATAATAATCATTTGGTATTTTTAATGTTAAAATAATCTATGATACTGGAATGTTACATAATGTATTAATCACGTGTTAAAAAAAGGTAATTTTTTATATAATTGTTATAAGATTCTTTAACATGATTATACGCATATGAATTAGAAATATTTTAATATACATATTGTATGTAAATATTCAATAAAATCTATATGTAATATATATTAAGAATTAATCAGAGAACTTAACAATCATATTCTAATATGTAACATATTCTGTTTTTCTAGATTGAATTGCTTGATTGGTCTGGAGAAGATCTATCTCCGAATAAAGATAAAGGTATTGAGAGATTCCAAATTGTTGCCGGTCAAAGCTATGCTCATCCAGAGGAAGGTAGTACTGTAAAAAGTTAGTATCATGATCTAATAGTATAAAGTATGATGTGCTATGTATTATTTATCTAATAAATTTTTATATATCTTTAGTACACTTGACTGGAAAATATAATGATGAAGTATTTGAAGATAGAGATGTAGAATTTGTTCTTGGAGAAGGAGAAGTTGCAGGAATTATAGACGGTATAGAAATAGCATTGCAGCGCTTCTTAAAGAGTGAGAAATCTAGGCTGTTCATTAGAAGCAAATATGCATTTAAGGAACAAGGAAATCCGACATTTAATATTCCACCGAATGCGGACGTAGAATACGAAGTGGAATTACAGAACTTCGAGAAGGTAATTATGATTATTGAAGCTGAATGTTTGTTTCTAATAAATTTGTAATCTGTAAATTTCTAAATTACTAAATATTATTTAATAGGAGGCAAGTATATGGTCAATGAAATCACCGGAAAAAATAGAACAAGCAAAGATGCAGAAAGAAAAAGGAACGAAGTACTTGACATCCGATAAAATCAATTTAGCCATTAAAGTGTACCAGAAAGTTTTCAAGTACTTAAATGATGCATCGAGTTTCGAGGATGATCTCAAAGAGGAGAGAGATAATCTCGTAATAGCAACTCACTTAAACCTCGCTCTATGTTACCTGAAAACCAATGAAAATGTTTTGGCTAGAGACGAGTGTGCTAAAGCTTTAGAATTGGATTCACAAAATGAAAAGGCTCTGTTCAGAAGAGGACAAGCGCATCTTGGGCTTTCATCGCCTGAAATTGCTATTAATGATTTCCAGAAGGTTCTAGAAGTACAACCGAAAAATACGGCCGCGTCTAAACAAATTTTAATCTGTAATTTACTTATTAAGAAGCAATTAGCTAAAGAGAAGAAACTTTATGCGAACATGTTCGATAAGTTTGCGCAGGAAGATAAACAGGTTTGTGAAAAACAATAATGTTGAATAATGTTTTAATCGATATATGATCTTTTTCATGTGCCGAGTTCTCGTATCAAGTATTGATCACAAAATTTATTATGAACATTTAGCTACTTGAAATGAAAATTATCTCTGCAATGTCTAATAAATATACTTGGATATCAATTATTATCCATATTTCAATATTGGCAAAAATGCCCGTAGACTCTACATTTGTCATAAATATTATGAATGATATAAAGGCTGATTATTTTAAATATTAAATAAATCTTGAAAATCTTGAAAAACAATTTGTCAATGCGTTTGCGTTTGCGTTTGACCATAAACCGTTAGTAATCTCATAGAAGGAGGAGCAAAAACTGAAGGAACAGCCAGACGTGATGCGTGGAACTCTAGGAGAATGGGGACAGGAAGAAAGACCCGGAGGTAGAGACGCGACTGCCTTCGAGAAGGAAAATCCTAACATACTTATGCTCAACGCTAATGGTTCTGGTGAATTCAAAAACATGTAAACAATGAACTTCTCTCTTTCGTTACACTGCCCCGCGTAACTGCCGATAAATTGAGGTCTCGTCAATCTTTATTTTCAGTGCCTTCTAAGTACTGCTATATATCTTTAACAAAAATCGCATGTGTTATAAACTGTATATTAAAACATCAAATGTTTAATTTTAGCGTGTAGAATTCATATGAGTCGCTATATATAAAAGTTTCTTGTACTTAATGCACATGAGCGCATCATAAGAATTATTTTAACATACTATCTTTTAATTTAAAAAAAGAGAGATTCAGTTTGTTAAGTTTTTAAAGATACAATTTTATTAATGCAGTACAATTGTTAAAGTTCGGTTACGTTACGCTTAGTTTGATTTTTATCTCTCATCAATTTCCCATTTCTATAAAATTACGTGCGATAGTTAAATCAATGTATTTTTCAAATTATGCCATTCCATTATAGTATAGTGCCATTTGTTTAAATTTTAATACATCGATCATTACTGTGTATATTGTAGATCTAGAAAAGAGTAATGTGGATTCAGTATATGTTTACACCCGCACACACACACACAATCTTTGTGAATAAATGCACATGGAATCAGACAAAAAATTTGTACATCATTATAAAAGATATATGTAAGATTGATTATATGCACAGGTAACAAATATGTAAAAATAATCTATTAACTATATAAATTTTTTTTGGCACTGATTCGTAAATTTATGTATTGTACAACATTACAAAATTTGAAAAGAACATTGCAGAATTAAATATAAGAAAATCTGACGAAAATATAATGTCATTTTGTTGTCACATCACAATCTCTAATCCTTTGACCTATAAACGAAGAATTCTCAATTCTAAATTAGTTATATTAATTTATTTGTTATGTATTTTACATGACGAACTTAAGTAGATATTATACTTATTTCTAATATACAGAAGTGATTTTTTTATGTTAGATAAAATAGTTTACACATATAATAAAATAATTTTATATTATTTTTCTTCTGTCTCTCTCTGTATAATATTATATTTTTAAATAACGTAATATATATTAAAATACTTTTGCAGCCAAAACAAGATACATGTAACTCTTTAAATACGTTGCACTTTAATACACGTCACACTTCGGACTTTTTTAAAAATATTCATAAGAAACTATATTGCTTCAGTTTGAATCTATTATTTTTGATTGATTCAAAATTAACTGTTGGTTAGAATATAAAATGTGTTCTGTCCATCTTTGACATTTTAATAAACTTTGTCACTATTGTTTCACCTAAACAAACATAATACCATCATAAAGAGCATACAGCCACGACTAAGGATGTAAATAAGTTATATATTATTTAAAAACAATTTCATAACAATAAGTAGACGTTTCGGTCAAGATTTGACTCTCTTCAGTACAATAAAATTGAATACGTTAAACATTAAAACTAAATACACAAGTCAACTGATAAATGTAGTGATAGCTAGTAACAAAAATTATTATTTCCTTATGATACAGTATTAATCGCAATCGATCGAAGTAGATTACAGTAACAGTTAATTGTTGTCGCGCTATATGTGAATAGAAAGAAATTAATTTCTTATATTGATACAATTAATATCCAATAATAGTGATATAAAAATATACGATATGCACGAACAATTGTTGAATTATATAATTTAGTAAATTAATTCAGAGAATTTCCCAGTAAACACCAACTAATAGTGAGATAATATCAATTATAATTTCAGTTATAATTTCGCATTTCACAATATAAATGTAATACAACACATATTGTACGTAACATACATTGTTTAATACAATATTGAAGAGATAGGGCTTTTGAATAAATATATATATTATTTATTCGTTTTATTGAATATGAAATAATTATACATAATATTGATGTTATTATTATTAATTGATGTTTACTGAGTTTAAATAATTTTTAATAAATTTGAAAATGTTTTGCCAAATAAAATTTTTGGTGAAACTTTAATGACAATGTAAAATTAAAATTTAATGATAAAAATGTAAAAATCAAGCATTTTGAAGTGACCGTTTAAGTAAATACTTTACTTAAAGATTCAGCCTGCTCAATTATCTAGATGTATCGTCTAGACCTTCTGATAAGTTATCTGCAGTATTAGTACATTAAACGTGCATACATACACGTTTATGTCTCCAGGGATGGCTTTACAATCTTTCGAGTCATCACAAAGATCAGGATTTTGCGCAATGCGACCATCGGCTGGCGTTCATATCCAGAGTGATAAAAATCCGAATTGAACACTGACCTCAGCTGCATCGCGATTTCCATAAAGTAGCACTCGATAGAAATCGACGGTTCATAAATCTCGTCGGAAATGTTCGGGATTAACGCATAATTAATGTTTCATGACGTGCATTTTTTGAAGCACGGCGGGATTCCTTTGTGAATTATTTTTGTTATTACACGAAAAATAACTAAAAATTTAGCTGGATTATAAATCTGAAAATAATTCTATTGAATTATCAAAATATACTTATGTAGGACGCTCAAATTGATTGCTAGAATATCAAAACTTTTTGCAGCATTCCTCATCATGGTTGAAATTCTTACAAGATATTTTGATGATCTAACAAATTAATTTTCAGAACTATCTAAATTTTTAAATATTTCAGAAACATTGTCAGGATATGAACTTCCAATATAAATGTTGACAAGCGGATTTTGACGTCCGGCGACACCCTTTTAACACATCCTTCCTTTTCCAATACATCCCCTGAGTATATATTGCAGAATAAGTAATCACGACTCTCAGAGCGCCCGCAGACCGCACCGCCCTGGTTCGATAAGGGGGGAGAGAGAGAAAGAGAGAGAGAAAGAGAGGGACAAAAATAGCTCTGTCTTCCTCGCACGAACGGCGTATCAAATGTGCCATGCCTGGGTGTACCAGCCAGTGGAAGAACGTCCGCGGTCACGGGTTCTTCGTTCTCTCCAGTTCGGTATTCTCCCTTCTCGGTACGTGGCAATTAGTGAGCGAGGTCGAATAGTCTTCTGTTAAAAGTATAGACCGCCGAGAGTGATTCCGCACCGCCGCGATGCCGAATATAATAAATGACATAAAATTGGACTTTAAAGATGTGCTGCTACGCCCGAAGCGGAGCACGCTGAAAAGCCGATCGGACGTAAGTATTGCCGTTTTTATATAATTTGGTATACATATAAGTCGGAATTGCATCCTTCGCGTTGGGAATAATTGCACGCATCTTCGGCGAAAGAAAAGAATTAAGGAAAAAAAAAAAATGAGACATTATTCATTGCGCAATATCGCAAGTCCGTTATATATCCGCTGAGTATATTTTCGGAAACGAATATGTTTGATTTTAAATTCGATCGTTCGAATTGCACGCGTGTACGTGCGTGCGCGCGTGTATAATAAATTACAGGCCGCCGTCGGCTGAGTCGGCTCAATTATGCGTCCTGCAGAATTAATGTTCGCATGATCGCTTCGAGTCAAAGCTCCCGAATTTATACTCCCTCAGTAAATTTTCTCTATTGATTTAATTCTTGCTACTTCCTGTACTCCGGATTGATTTCATTGTTTAAATTTATGTCGACTGACCTTGCATCCTGCATATTTTTATGAGAAAATTAACATAAATTGAAGATTAACAAAAATTATTGTTGTATTTTTTTAACTTTTTGTTATAATGAGATTATTAATATAATATTTGCATATATTATGTTATATTAAATCTTTCAATTTTATTTATTTGATATATATATATAATATTTGCATATATTATGTTATATTAAATCTTTCAATTTTATTTATTTGATACATATATATTTCTGTCCTGTACCAGTATTAATAAAATAGTTTGTATTGTTTTTATATATTTTTATATAGGTGTGTATAAAGATATCAGTTATACATAACATTGTGTGTATGAGTTAAATATATTGTTTTTGATACCTAAATATCTTGTTTCTAAAATTTTTGTATTGTTAAAAATAAATTTATTTTTTAAACAAAAATCTCTGATCTTCTGACTGTTATTTCAGGTAGATCTTTTCAGAGAAATCACCTTTCGCAATTCTAAACAAACATACAGAGGAATCCCCGTGATGGCTTCTAATATGGATACAATTGGAACGTTTGAAATGGCAAAAGCTCTTTCAAAGGTAAAATAATTTAACAATCCATTTCGAAATAAATTGAAAAATTTTTCATCGGATTTAAATTTTAAAATACGTCAATAGACCCTTTCTACTTATACGTATATCTGCATATACATATATCTGCATACATATATTTGCATACGTTAAATAAATATAAATTAAAAACTTGTATATATAACATTAATATATTCATGAAACTATGCAAATAAAATTATTTGAATATACGAATATAATGGGTACTTATTGTGTATATTCTTTTAGCATGGTCTTTTTACTACGGTTCATAAATATTATACCGCAGATGAATGGAAAGACTTTATCGCGTTAAATCCTGATTGCGCAAAGAATGTAGCAGCAACTTCAGGAACAGGAAAAGAAGATTATGAACGGCTTTCAAGCATTTTGGAAGTTGTACCGGAATTATCATTCATATGTTTAGATGTTGCAAACGGATATTCACAGAATTTCGTAGAGTATGTGAGAAAAGTAAGAGTGCGATATCCGAATCACACTATAATTGTAAGTATAATTGAATATCTCATTATCTTTATATATGGTGTCTCAAATTTAAATTGCCAAACTTTGCGAGCGATAGGAAATCGATATGAATTAAGAAAATAGACCTTCGAAAATATGTTTGTTTTTGCTTTGTTTTGAAGAAAATCGCAAAAAAAGACAAATCATAATTTTCAAAATATTATTGTTTTTGAAACGGAATATTATTATTTTCGTGTACGATTTCAGCGATAATGCTTCAGAAGCAGTACGAAAGTACGCATGCCGATTTCCAAGCAAGAGTTGTGCCGGATCAGCAAGTCATTATGTTGACTAGATCAATGTTTGGCAACACGAGCTGCTCGTACAAAATGCAATGCGTGCAAAAGGTCAACATTTTGGACTATATCTGCATTAAACAAGTAATAACGTGAATAAATAAGTATGAATGAATAACTAACAAATAGGTACAAAAATGAAAACTACGTTTTGTCTTTTTTTTCTTCAAAACAAAGCAAAAACAAGCACATCTCTAAAAGACTTCTTCTTAATTTATTGATCTCTTACATGCACTTATAAGGCCTGTTCTTTTTAGCTGAA